AGAGAGAGAGAGAGAGAGAGAGAGAGAGAGAGAGAGAGAGAGAGAATGAATAGATATTTGTTTCTAATTTCATCTTCTATATATATTTAAAATAATTTACTATATACTATAATAAAAACTTACTTATCAAATATTTTAAAACAATATTAGTCCTGGATCACATTTGACCCTGCATCCACGGCCTATTCTTATCTACATTCTTTTTATATTTATAAATGAATTTATGCAAACATATAATATTTGGCATTAAAAATTTCTTTATCAACAAAAATCCATTTAGGGGCATGAATTCATATCATTTATGATAAAGTGTTTCTGCCAAAATTTATGATAATTAGGCGTTGAACGTTTTTAGAAGTTTATCGATTAATTTAATTTTTAAAGATAATAATAGCGTTCGAAACCGGATTTGTTCCACCAAATATCAATTATATATCACCACAACGTGATATGTATGCCTTGATGAATGGAAGTATTTGTATTGTCCAAGAGCAAATGCCAATAAAAAAGGGTTATGTAGCAATCAATTCTTTTGGTTTTGGAGGAGCCAACTCTCACACCTTATTAAAGTGGAATCGTAAAGAGAAAATTAATAATGGCGCGCCGAATGATGACTTACCTAGGCTTGTAATATTATCTGGACGCACCGAAGAATCAGTGAAGTTGTTTTTAAACAATGTCAGTAGCTATTTAAAAGCTCATTTAAAATATTAAAGCTATTATATCATTATTTTTATTTAAAACAAAATTATTATAGATTGCTAACCATCCAATTGATGTAGAATACATCCGTTTATTACATGATATCCATGCAGACAATGTAGACGGTCATCCATGGAGAGGGTACGCTATACTGAATACTTTGCAACAAGATTCAATAAAAGAAATTCAAAATTGTGAGGATATGAAAAAATCCGTTTGGTTTATATTTTCAGCTTTAGGTTCACAATGGCCAGGAATGGGTATAATAATATATTTAATATTCTCTGTAACTTAGTGTTAAGAGGATTTAAATAATAAAATAATGTAATCTTTTATAACTAAAATTTTATCAGGTCGAAATTTATTAAAATTCCACGTTTTTGAAAATACGATAAGAAAATGCGATTTTATTTTAAAATCGTATAATATAAGTATTATGGATATTTTGACAAATACAAAAGAAAAAATGTGCGAAAACGCGTTAAACGCGTTTCTTGGAATCATCGCTATTCAGGTATCATTATACATATTTCAAAGTTATACATATATAACTTTCAAAACTCAATTATACTATATCTATTGATGAAAAATATATCTACAATAAATATTTTTTATATAGTTGTTCTATTACATTTGAATTATTATGCTACTAGATTTATTTCATTACATTTTACTATTTTATAAGAAATAAATTTCTAAAATATAATAAATAATTAAAACTTTTGGAATATATTTGTAGATCGGTTTGGTAGATCTCCTAACATTCTTAGGCATTATTCCGGATTACATAATTAGTCATTCCGGCGGTGAACTCGGTTGCGCGTATGCAGATGGATGTCTCACTCTTGAACAAACTATTTTATCAGCATATTTTATCAATTTGGCATGTGCTAAAGAAAATATAATTCGTATCTCAATGGCGGTTGTCAGTATCAATTACGAGTGTCTTAAAAATATATGCCCACCCGATATTGAAATAATATGCCGCAATAGCGGAAACAGCAGCATCGTGAGTGGACCCATAGAATCAGTACAAGAATTTATTAAAAAATTACAGGTAAAATTACATAACTCTCTTAAATAATATTTTCAAAATATCAAGTCTTTTAAACCATAATTTGCGCGCTGCATATGACAAATTTATATTTTTAGGTCCAAAATATTTATGTGAAAGAGATCTATTGCAACGTACCGTATCACAGTTCTTATCTTGCATCAATGGAAACTGAGCTTTCGTTTAATTTAAATAGAATAATTCCGCGGCCTAAGAAACGAAGTTCAAAATGGATCAGCACATCCGTACCTCGTAACGAATGGCTCACTTCAGGAGAATTATCATCGGCAGATTATCATACGCGTAGTATATTAAATATCGTTCTCTTTGAACAAACATTACATCTAATTCCGAATAATGGTATTACTATTGAACTTGCACCATGCAATGTTCTGCAGCACATATTAAAAGAATCTTTGCATCCAGAAGTGACAAACATTGTACTAACTCAACGCACTGAACAAAACAAAGATGTAATTTTTCAAGGAATTGGAAGGCTCTACAATTGTGGCTTACAACCGCAGGTTGCAAATTTATATCCACCAGTGGAATATCCAGTTAGCAGAGGCACTGCTATGATTTCTCCATTTATCAGGTACAAGAAATTACTGTAATTGTAATTTAAATATTGTTTATATAAGAATATGAATAACTAATTATCAGGGAATGGAAGTAACTCGTTACTTGTAACGAAGTTACAGTTACAAGTTACTTTTTTGGTAACTTTACTGGTAACTGCGTTACTTTCTTTTTTTGGTAACTGTAACGGTAACGAGTTACATTTTTTTGGTAACGGTAACGAAATTTACAGTTACTTTTGTCGTTACTTTGCACACGATTGAATACGGTTCGATTGGATACATGCTATTTATAGCGCTTATCAATAAGACTTGAAAGCCCTTAGACATTCGGCCGTTATGATTCAGTAATTATTTTACACTTCTATCTTCTATGTAATACATAGGACATACAAATATTTCAGTTTGCTGCATATTTTATAGGTTTTAGAATTA